TTTGATGCATACTTAATTGTTAATGAAATATCGATTTATTCAGTTCAACGTTTAAATATAAGAACGACTATTCTATACATTTTTATTAAATATTTTATAATAAGCTGTAGTTATACATTAAATTAGAAACAATACGTATAAGTGTATATAACCTATGTGTCCAATCGCAATTAAWATTATACACAGCGAGGGTTATACAATCAATTCAATTTAATATAACAGACATTTTTTTAAGCTTTCTAGCATCKTGAATATTTAATTTTCTTGAATTGTAATATAATTCAAGAAATATAATAAATAAAAAAAAACAAAAAGATTAAGAATTTATTTCATAGATTATTTTTTTCACARAAAWAAAGCTACATTTTATAATACGTATTATAATAGACACAACTTAGATTCCACAACTAAATATTATGCTTTAACGTTGAAGTAATATTATTTTATGCATAACTAAACGAACAATTTTATGGAATGATTAGCTATAAGTACCTATTATGATTAAAAAAAATATATGTATTCAAGTTAGGAGCTGTAGTTTCAACTATTCAAGTTTAAGTTCAATCATTTATACATATATACAATAAATTGTGAACGGAATATTTTATTTWTTTATTCCAATCGTTTGACATATGATTTGGAGCTGTTCTAGATAAAAAATAAGAAGAAATAATAAACACTGGAATAATAACGAAATATTTTCATTGACCACCATGCGATTAAACGCATGTATTCGATATCGAATGTTCATGTTTTTTTAATTTTAGATTATTAAATAAAGGTATAAACAATACCGTCCCTGCCTTCGAATAAAATATGTGTACTGAAATGATTATTTAAATACCATAATACAAAAAAAAATATCAATGAATATTAACATTAACATTTATTTTATTTTTATTTATGAGTGAAACAAAAAGTCCTGAAATCCATGAAATTTTAATAAATTCATGAACCACATGTAACGGAGTCAGTTATTATATAAAATTGTTGATTGATCTTAAAAATACACTGATTATGATAGGTTTTTTGTGTTTTATAATTTTAGCCATTAGCCATTTTAATTTTGTTGAATTGCGTTGAATTGTTTTCTTTACACCTATATAATCCGTTGAGACAATATTAACTTAAAATCGAACCCTTTTCCTCTGGGAATAAGTGGACCAAATCACATTCATAAGAGCTAAATCAAAGTGSTATCCGAGTAATCTAAACTGATGAACTGAACGGAAAATTGAGATTTATATTGGTCTACACAAATTGGCAACACGACGACTACGAAAGTGGAAATACGTTTTAATTGAGCTGCAGCATTCTGGGATTGTTGTTTCCTCACAAATCCAATTCTATCCWAGTGCCAAATGTAATTGGATAATAGCGCCACTAGCCTAGAGTAGTATTGTGTAGATAATGAGAAAGGAAAAATGGGATTTATATGATAAACACCATTWTTAGTGATGTGTCGAAGTAAAATCATTTGTGGGATGCGCACACACTTTGGATGATCGAGTAGTTATTGGCCAAGTCAACATTGGCAGTGATTTTTTTTTCTACTTCGTGAAACTGTTTCGAGGTCGTTTGCACATGACTGATCATCGTCGTGCTCCGTCCGGTCGACAAGTAAACCCTCACGCCGAAATAAACTAATCCCGAGCCGTAAAATATACTATTTAAATTAATATAATTACAACGCCATGATTTGATGAATGTACGTCAAAATCAAAATAATAAATTATAGCAAAATACTCTATGCGTGTGCACGGACGGCATATACTCACCGTATTTTACTAACTTACAATATARTTTGCACCGAATGAGCTTAAAACTTTGGCCAAGGCGATGCCAAAACAACGGGGTTAGTACCACTTAATCGTGTGATGTATAACATTTATAGGTACAGGAATATATTAAATACATTTCGAGTTAATTACAATCATGGAAAAAGTGGCTGAATTAAAATTTTTTCATTACGCATTTTATCAATGAAAACCTCATTACGCATCGAATTGTATATGATATTATTATAATTATTTTGTAGAAAAAATACAGAATGATTTTAAGTACCGACTTCATATTGGCTAAGTAGAAATTAATTAGTTAATAGGTATATGTTTATTTTATTTTTAATTTTCTACATAGATAAGACCAAGGTCGATTTACCTAACAATACTCATTATAAGTTACTTTGGTTTTTTTTATTAATTTAACGACTACTTACATATATATACTATATATGTTAAAATTCAGTTATTATGAATACCTACTTAAATTTTAATTGAATCACATTTTACGTGTGTTAGTATAAGTAGCTTTTACTAATCTATGTTGACACCTCTGACAAATTAGTCATTTAAAAGTAACACGCTGTATAGTGAAAGCAAAATCGTGTGAAAATAAAATTAACTTATAACTACCTACCTAGTTATTTTAAAAATATAATTATCAGTTAAATTAAATTTGAGTGTTTAATTAAACCGAGTTAAAATTATTCATTATTAAATTGGATAGCTTTGCCAAAACGCGTGTGATACCGAAACGCAGAATATTATCGTTAATGGGGCGAAATATCAATTTAAYGATGTAGGTACTAATAATAGTGATAATATTATAATAATATCATATCATTATATTTGTACAATAGTTCCTATAGATATCAAGTGCATCGTTTTTAGTTTTGTAAGTATTCAGGATAATATCTAGAACTATTTTAACTACATTATAAATGGGTTTTTTTTTAATGAAAAATTTTCATAAAATACCGCTTCGAACAGTTTGTTAAAATTAAATAATACATAGTTGTTTTCAAATTTAAAAAGAAAAAATACGTAAGACTTAAATTATGTATTTATTTTTGCCTCGGACGCGTATAGGTATCACTRAAGCTAGAGTCCATTGTAACGTCACTATCACTGCCAGATCCAGACGAGAAAAAAACTCCAATTTATACTTATAGGTATATACATATAACTTCAGAAACATAGATGCAAACGTGCAAAATATATTATAATGACGTGTATTTACTACCTATTTATGTTTCGAACGTCTAATATGTTATTTACGTCACGAATTCAGACTAGAAATCTGCATAAAAACGTACCTATCTATTAAATTTTTTCTATAGCATCAGAAAAAAAAAACTAAAATAAAATAATTCAAGATATTATAAAAATKTATCAATAACAGATATTGCGTTCTCTTCAACTAGATATTAACACGCTATCGTTATGCCATAATTTCTAACGACTCGCACGTCGCCTTCAATCGCAACAGTCGACTAATTCAAAAATAATAAATTCATGGCGATATACAATTGTCTTTTAAATATAATACAAGCGATAGGCATCCAAAGTACATTTTGACAAATACCTGTCCAGGTGAGTGCATTAATGAATATAATTATGTTCGAGGAGAAGATCTCAAACTTATAATTGGATTACAAAGTAGCGTACATTYGGAAAAATCTCGATGCATAATAGGATGTGCATATTTAATGTCTGCACTAATTTAAAAATTAAATGTTAACGTAAATAAAGTAAATTTAAATTAAAACTGAAATAATCTCGACACTTTGTGTGAAACTGGATAGGATTTAATTATGTAACCTCAATTGAATAATACATTAGTTGTACAAATTTCGAAGCTCCGAAGCGTTTCACTTTTATTATTGTTATACATAAATAATAGATAGGTATACTATAACATTCCACATTATGAAATATTTATTTATGAGAAATTGCAGTTGAATTATTTTTAAAGGACCACTTTAATTTTAAAATGTTCCACCTGCGTTCCACTATAAATTATTTTCCTAGTTCGTAGTTTATTACATTTTTGACAAGACATGTACAAACACAGTTTACAAGGAAATAATTATTTTAATAAAGCCTCATATCAAATGTAATTAAAAATAATTCCATAATTTTTCTATTATGTGGAAGCGTATTTTATGATTTTTTTTAAAGTCTCGTCAGCCATTGGAAGTGGTTATTTGATGGACACGAAGTATGCAATGAATTAGGTACTTAACTACTATTAAATATTTAGCATAGGGATTCAAATGTATCGGATACAAATGTTGACCAATATTTAATCAATACAATACGGATATAGTATTTATTTCCGGTAGACTGCGATACATAGACAATTATGAATAAGAAATAACACTACAGTCCAACTCATATTATCAATTCAATTAAATGATTTTGTTTTTTTTTTTTTTTTTTACAATAAAAAATTTATCGTGATTTGTTAGCTCCAACTGCTCTGATATATTATAGTAAGCATTTTAAGAATCTATATAAACAAATACTACAATYGACTCTCGAGGTCACGCGGTCAGAAATATTAATTTACCTATACAAATATAATCTTTTCATATTTTTCTTGGCTAAAATCAGAAATTCTTGTTCACACCCCCTGTGATAAGATAGCATATATTATTAAGTAGGTTATAATATAATAYGCGACCACGAGCTTAAAAATATAAAACACACAACACAACAACGCATAATTTAATAATATTGTCACACTTCATGCGTAATCAAATCATTAATTTTACAATACTATTCTGTATCACACATTCAAATAATATTATACTTTATATAACTTTGCATCGAATCAATCATTCATATCCATATCTTTTAATTCAATATGTGATAATATATAATAACAATTAATGRCTGAACCGTCCATAATATGAACATGTTCAAATCTGCTTTATTTGCACCGCGCAGTCAATGAACATAGTAAAATAATATCATAAAATGATTTTCCGTTGACTGCATTATCCAACACATATATTATTATACAGTATTTCGTACAACACTGTTCAACTAACTAGAGAAACTCAAACCGAAACCTGCGGAGGGTTTTTAAACCATAGGTATACCACACATTTGACAAGTAGGTATACTAATATATTATACCTAGTTATGCGATGACGTTATTATATTATAATATGCATTGCATCTACCTAAAACGAACGTGCGATGATTTTATACCTTTGGCCGGCACGGGCCGGTGACTGTACCCGTTGTGGTTGTCCGCGGCCGTCAGATCTTCTAGTTCCGGCTGGTTCCAAACGAGAACATGTTTGGCGCCGGACGTCCGATTGTTAGGGCAGCACGTGGACGACGACGACGATGACGGCCCGGGACACCCACCACCACTGCCGCCGACGCCGCTAACGCCACTTCCACCGCGGCCACAACCACCTGAACCGCCGCCGTAACCAACGGTCGCCCGGCCGCCGAACGACGACTCCTCCTCCTCCTCCTCGACGACGACGTCCCGTCGGTGACGGACGGCGACGTGCACGCCGGACATGAGGCCGACACCGGCCTCCTCCTCCTCGGACTCTATCCCGCGGCCGTCGCCTCCATCCCATCTGCGGCCGGACATCAGCGCGTACCGCCGCCAGACGATGGCCAGCTCCTTCCGCCGAATCCGTCACAGCGCATTGGTCATCAACCTGTCATCGCTGTACACTGCGGCGCTGTCTATAGTATACACCACACATTCTGTCAACATAAGTCCATAGACGCGGAAATGCCCAAAGGCTGGTATAATATATGTGTATGACGACACACATATTATAATGACATGACGTGGTGGTTCCAGGTCAATTTAAACTGGCCACATTTGTTTTGTCACTAGGTTTTTGTGATTTTGAAAGAAAAAAAATTGCCTCTGCACCACTGAGTCTAAATTTTAAACGCTACAACACAAACGAACTGTGTGCGAATTGTGTCGAATTACTCAAACTTATTAAATGTAAAATGTTTAGTCTTTTTAAAATCATAAAAATGTACAAATTGAACAAATGTGTCCACCTCATTTATGTTTTATAATAATATGTGTGCATGTAATATCAATGCGCGTACAACTTTGGCTGATATCGTGTGAATTTACGCGCCGTCATTCAAGTCACTTGAAAATTGACTCAACTTGGAAAATGTATTAAAATATGCAAATTACGCAATTTTTTATCATTCCAAGAGTTTTTAGAAATAATATTAATTTTTTAATTGATCGCCTACACTCAATAGTTGCACTCCCACACCCGTCCGTAAGCCACTGACCTTTAGACTCCTTATATTACAATGTTATATCGACGTATATTTGTTACGAAAATGCTG